AAGCAAGGCCAGAGAATATCTGGCGTATAATTGGCCGCGCGTACAATGGCGATTGTCGCGGTGGAACGGCGATAGGCACGAAGACGGTGAAAAAGTAGCGGAGTGGATTCCGCGAAGACGTCGCCGAGGAAAATCGTCAGAGCGTGGACAACACACACAGTGGAAGAAACGTTCGTGTCCCAAGGAAAACCGGATTGTTACCAATTAAACGATTCCAGTCGATGCTCCCGCTGCCTCTATAATTTCGATTTAACTCTGTAATTATGCTGGTAAATTGCGTCTTTAATTATCCACCTCGACTCGGCAAAGCTGCTTTTCATCCGTTTCCTGCTCAACGATATCAAAAGGGGGCGTGCAGATCCTTGCCTCGCCTTTGCCGCCGCCTTCTTCTCTACGCTGAGAGAAATTATTTTCTTCGACTCGCGACAAACCAGCTCCGGCGATATCATCTCGCCGTGGCGTTAGTGGTGTTAGTTGTTTGCCCCCGTCGTGCATGATAAAGCCGATGCTCTACAAAGATGCGCGAATTCAACGCGGTCTTTTCGTATTCTAATTGAGTTTTTGTATTCTAAGACTCGCTCCCCTGGATTGCAACGTCTCCATCAGGTTGATTGGTAATGAAGAACGGACGTTTGGGTTTCTTCGTTTCAAAGAACTGAATTGTAGAAAGAAGCAGTTGAGTAATTGAGATAAATTACGAGTCTCTGAAATTAATCTAATCTTCACTGTTGCAAACTTATCAAATTTTCATGAAAAATTAGAGATCACTCGTTTTTCTTTTTTCTTTTTTTTTTTAATCTAGCATCACTTGCGAGGCGTACGTTTTGTTTGCATTTTTCTACATTAGGTAAGTCCGGGTGAGATGGCTCAGTTTCATTATATATAGTTCATAAAATGTCAATTTCAGTAGTTTATTATATCCCATTATTGTTACCCTATTACTTTATCACATCAATATTATTATATCATATCAATCATTCATTTTATTTATATTTTATTTATATTATTATATCATTATTATTACGTTTATATTATTATATCATATCAATTATTCATTTTCATTTGAAAAAAAAAGGTTATTAAATAGTGTCTACGACTGAATAGTCTAAAAAATTCTCTGCTCATCTTTTAAACTTTCATTTACTAACATTTTAACATTTTAAAAGTAATAATTTTTTCGTAAAAATACAATGCTGATACAGCGTTTAAAGGTTATAATCTTTCTACGTAGAATGTAATTTTTTTTCGTTCACTAAATTATTTTTTAATTTTCTGTTTGTAATTATAATTTTTATAATTATTCTAAATTTATACTTTCACAATATATTCAAATATATACAGATGTATACATTTAAAATATTGTTCGGACCATTCTCCATAATTCTAGCCATTAGAATCATGTCTACGAAAGATGTTAGGCTTCTCCGTCACATAAAATAATTTGTCGCTCTATTTTTAGACAAGAACAACAATTTGTTTTTTTGTTTATGTGAACAAGAAGCCTGACGTCTTTTCTACACATAATTCTAATAGCTA